AGGAATAATTTTTTTTGCCTGGATGTAAAACAACAGAATGAAAAGGAAAGTTTTATTATTCTTTTCGTACAAAATAACAAAGTGTTTTTTGTCATCTCTACCACCACGTTTTGAAACTCTGGTAAAATGGAGTAAAATTAGCTATAAATTCACAACTAATTCGAGAATTATCCAGTGGTTTTAAATCCTGCACGAATTTCTGATTATCTCAGTCTGTTCATAATTTTACCGATTTCTAAATCTTTAAAAATTATTTTGAATTTGTCAACAAAAAAGGCATAGCTCAAGGCCAAGTGAAATTGGAGAGCAACTGTTCGGGGAGCAAGTGTCATTGGGAAGCAACTGTCACGGGAGCAAGTGTCTGGGGAGCAATTGTCTCTGACCAGCAAGTGTCCGGGAAGCAAATGTCGCGGGAGTAACTCTCTGGGAAGCGCATTTAACATAGTTGATTTTGACAAAAAGTGTTCATGGCCATCAACAGTATGGCTAAAATTTTGCTTAAAAATCGTGAATTCCCTTGATGAAATTTATGTGTGATACGTGATACTGTTCATGTTTTAAAAAAGCATTAGATACCCGGGACTTTAACTGCACGCGAGTCAAGCTTCGAGTCGTGAGTCTGCCAGCTAGATCGAATCTGATCTGATTTTATAATATTATTGTCGAGCTGAGCTATGAGTCACTATCTCGCGAACTGTGCTGAGTGTTAGCGAGGGGAAGACACGGCTCACCCACCTCTGGTTTGAACCTGAAGAGATGCGCTTTGTTTGAAGTAGTAGAGTGTTAAGGCAGAATTGAATTTAAAAAGAATCAATTGTTATGAAACATGTAAAGAATCCTTATATATGAAGAAAACAATACGTCTCCTTTAACAATAGAAAAAGAAAATCTAAACAATTTCAAACAGTTAACGCATTGCTTCAGGTTCAGACCCGTTTATTCAAAGTTAAACAGTGGTTAAATCTTTCTTTCTACCCGACATTAAAAAGGATTATATTTTTGTACTGTACACGTCGTTACAAATCGAGCAGAAGAAATGAAAGCTCAAGAATATATTTTTTTCTCTCACGGGATTGTACCGTTGAGAAAAGTGAAGTTTGATTTCTAGATATATATAAAAGTTCCCTGACTAGTTATCATTTTATTCTTAACGTAATAAAATGGATAAAATAATCGAACGCGCGTCTGATCTAAAAAGAAAGGATGTCGAACAGCTATCGATTGATGAAATTATATCGTATCTTGATGATGTGGTTAATGAATTAGTTAAAACATTGAATGGCGATAAGGAAGTTATGGTTAGCAATGAAGGTTTCCGAATATCAGGGGCTGTGGCCAAAATGATACGTACAAAATATCCTGATTATTTATCGCAATCATCGGCACTCATTGAACATAAATATATTCAATTGGTACGCAATACAATCATTTTTTATTTTGATCAACTAAATAGAAATTGCCTATCGTTAACGGACACTGACAATGAGAGTCTATCAGATATGTGTCTAATGGTTACAGAAATGTGTAATAAATTGGATAAAAAGAACTCAAAATTAATCCAACAATTATTTATTACTAAAGAATTTATTCAACCTATGCAACAAATCATGGATGATATTTCGGCGAAAGGTGAACATTTATCAAATGGAAATATTCTTATATCATTATATAATTTTATACAATTCTTTACAAAATATATACAGCTAACAAACGACGATGATCCCAATTTGTTATCGTTAGTACAAGCAGCGATAAAATGTTTATGTTCGGAATATTATTTGAATATATTTAAAGGGATGGCCCCACAGTGTTCGATCAGTAATCCTAAAGAACATCTGTTTCTAATTGAATGTCCGCTACTGGTAACAAACTATATTAATAAACAACGTGATCATTTATTTGATGATAATAGTTATCATCAAGTATTTCTATCCAATACGAATGAAATATTGAAGGAAGTATTACCCAATTTACATAAATATAAAATTGGTCACTACAAAGCTATCAAACATTTATTAGAAATACTCTTAATGATACCAAATGATTATTATTATGATAATAAAACAACAATTATTGGTCACTTTACGACAATTTTACAATCGACTGATAAGCCATTAGATGATTCAAATCTGGATCAACAGAGAACTGATTTGATTAAACTAACAATCTCACTAATCCATCAGTTTGCGTCCGATTCGAAATTACTCGAAGCGATACAAAACAATCAACAGTTGTGTAATTTACTTAAAACAGAATTATTCACATCAAAAACTGTACATGTACAATTTGCAACAGAAATGTTATTATGTTTGCTGGATGAAAAACATGTGAAGGATTTGCCTAATCCACAAGACACAGCAAAAACATTTGTCACCTATTTGAAAATATCGGTAAAAGATCCTGTGCAACAATGTGAAGGAGTACAACTGAAAAATTTACAAACTACATTGAAAGGTAATGTGAGTGTAAACGAATATTTCTATAAATTTGGTCTTGTCTGATACTCAGAAGATTCGGACTTAGCCAGTCCACCTTATGGCTACATTGCCTCTATCAACGAACTGATCCGAGCGCTAATATATACTTACCCTCTGAAATTTCAAGCGTGAATGCTCGATGCTTCATATACGGCAAATGTAACCGTATCGGTAAAACTAACAGATCAATGGACTAAAGGATATCAGCCATTCTCGCTTTTACCTTAATGTTAAATTTCAGTCGTATGGCGAACCAGGATTGGAGATTACAGGGGAAGCAAACTTAGTAAATTAGAGACAAAACTGTTTCTCAGAAACCCCACAGCTTCTCGAAGAATCATTCACTCAAGCTCTTCAGTAGTGTGACTACGAGAAAGAAAACCAGGAAGAGTTTAGGTAGGAGAACAAGGAACCATACTTGGTACGCGCAACAAGTATCGTGTAATCGCAGACACAGAGAAGCATGCACGCGCGTGCGTCTGTATCTTCGATTACACGCTTCATCCACAATAACGTTTCCTCACTACTAAGTCATTGTAGCGTCATGGAAACATTCAGAATTCACTCCTCCATGTTGCTAAACGAAAGTTCATTTTACAAAGCAAGATGCCTATTAGGCAGAATTCTCTTGAGATATACGTTTGAGCTGCTTGAAGTGCATGTGTGTCGCTTAAGTCAAGTATATATCTCATGCTTTTATGGACAAATCTTGAGGTATGAACTTGAGGTTCAAATGAATTTTTGAAGTGCTTTTAGGCGCTCGTTTGTTGAAAGCACTAACTAAGCGCAATATAGGATATCGGAGAGGATACATTCTCTCTGCTTTGCGAAATCTGCCGTAAAGAGACCGACGGCTTTCTCTAAATCGGATTTCTTCGAAAAGTTGGAGGAAATCATGAGATTCATAGAAAACTTATAGTTTTAAAAGGAAACAGAAAAACCACTTATTGAGTAATGACTAAAAACTCAGGCAGAAAAAAGGTTACATGGCATGGCGAGTTGATAGGGATTCTTGCACTTCACGTGGTGTGTCTTCTGTGTGACAAACCTAGTGCAGCTATACCAGGTTTAGAACATGTACTTTTACCTGAATATTTGAAATAAAAAGATGCAAGAAAGATTTTCGCTAAAGACGTAATGCTGAAATTATGCAGTTCTGCTTCGAACATATTGTTTTCTTCTTTTTGAAAAGTAGACGGATCATCGCAACAGATAAAATAAAAAGCTTTTTGAAAACATTTTCACTTAAAGGCTTGTCGCCGATTTACGGCTTCAAGCACTCAAACTTACTCGTTTCTTTGTGCAAGATACGACAAGATTGTTCTTTATGGGGCGTTTGATAGAATCGAAAGGGTTTTTCATTAAACCCTACGGTTCAATAAGTTCTGGTTTTTGTAAACGGCTAATAACCCTTGTGACATTTATCGCAGGCGTTTCGAAAACACTCGTTTTTCTAGAGAGGATCGGTTAGCGTAGGTAAAATCCATAAAACACAATACTGTATGTGAAGAATGTGAATTCAGCGGAAAGGATATCACCGGTTTTTAAAATATGACTTAATCAACACGGTAATAATAGATAATTATAGAGTTTTAGAAGATGCATATTTCTCTATATTTTTTAAGTCTTGCATTTGTGCGGTTTCTGGGAAAATTAAAAAGTTTGATTGATAGGTACCCATGTGATACCTGCGCAACCAAAAATTATTTTTTCAATAACCTTCCACTATTTTGAAAAATGCTTCTCACCATTAGATAGGCGAGATTATTGTGCATCTACACCTGTCATCGGTACATTGTAGAACGAAGAGGCGTAAAAACAATGGTCGAAAGATAAAAGAAATTCTTGATTTTTCAAAAACATCATGGTTCGTAAAAATGCCTTAGCTCCATGAACAAAGCTTGTCGTAATAGCCACATAAAAACATCCTTAAATTCTGCCCTACAAATCCTGACATTAAAAGAAAACTAAATTGTCCTCTAAGAACTATAATTTTTTTTAATATAAAAATTTAGGCACACTTTTGACACAACAATTTTGATACTGCGTGAGTAAAACCGGTCTATACAAAAAACAATTAAAGGCTTCTTTACTTTAGTCTCATTTTGTGCAGAACTCAATTCTCTATGTTGTACGATAAAAGGAAATTGAGGTGGATTGCGAGTGCGGAAGCGTAAACATTGAGAAAAAATAGGTCTTCAGCACAGAGGCAGTCCGCTTATTTTGTGTCTTTCTCACTTCCTATACCTCTTTAATGGAAGATGAGTAATCTCGCCTGTCTAATGGTGAGAAGCATTTTTCAAAATAGTGGAAGGTTATTGAAAAAATAATTTTTGGTTGCACAGGTATCGCACAGCTACCTATCAATCAAACTTTTTAGTTTTTCCAGAAACCGTACAAACACATGACTTAAAAAATATAGAGAAATGTGCATCTTCTAAAACTCTATAATTATCTATTATTACCGTGTTGATTAAGTCATATTTTAAAAACCAGCGGTATCCTTTCCGCAAGAAAACTCGCATTTTGTCTAGAAACATTCTGAAACAAGAATGAGATCTCAATTGATTCCTGTCATAATTCAAGCGGTAAGAAGTTTGGAATCGACTTCTTCTCGGAGCCAAGACTTGTAACTATAGCCTATGAGAGCCAGATTTTGAAAGTTCGATTCTACTTTTCCAGAACAGTAAATCTTTTTAAAAACTCTTATAAGTGATTTTCATGTTTTTAGGAAAGAGTATTCTAGACGAAAAGTTGAACTTTGTTAAGTTTTAATCGCAAGTTTTTCTTCTATCTAATACCGATCTTTTCATCACTTTGGATGTAGAAGAAGTTAATAAGGTAGTGGCGAAACTTAGTTTTCAATCTCTTTTTTAGAATACCTTTTTGCAAAAGCTCGATTCTTAGATCTTCAGTATAGTTAACTGCCGGTAAGATTGTTAAATGTGGAATAATAATTTCATCCAGATTCCATTTTCGACACGATGGCATTTTTTCGTGCCTCAGAAGAACTCAATACGATTAATTTCGTCATGGTTGAACAGTTTTTGTAAGAATTTTAAATTTGCCCTCTCTCTCCATTTATTCGAAGGTATTGTGGAAAATGATGACAAAATGATTGTCGGACAACAATTAGTTGAACAGGACGGTCTACCCGTGTTAGTACAATGTGCAACGGAAGCAAAGTTTGATGTCAAAACTATTCAACAACCATCACTGGAAAATCTATGGAAATTAGCATTTATCAAAGATGCAGCGGATAAACTAAAAAGTTATCAAGGTTTTCTAGTTTACCTTCGACAAATCTTGACATCATCAATCAAACAGATACAAGCAAATCAGGTTGTTCAAAAAGCGGCGGATGGTCTGCTGTGGAAACTAGTAATTGAACCACAGAAACTTGCCGAAGAGAAAGAGAAAAAGGAGAAAGAAAAAGAGTGATTAGCACCAGTAACAAGACGACGATTTAAATATGATATGATGTTTAGTTATCAACATAAAGATAAAGATTTATGCTACAAAATTTATGAACGTTTAATAAAAGAAGATAATTATAGAGTATGGTTAGATAAAACAGAAATGTACGGTTCAAACATGAGACGTATGGCGGAAGGGATTGAGAATTCAGAATTTGTTGTTATTTTTCTCTCAGCTGATTATAAGAAAAGTCGTTATTGTGAAGCAGAAGCCTCTTATGCACATGAAAAAGAACGCGTGTTAGTACCTTTAAAAGTTCATGAAGGTTATAATCCAGATGGATGGCTTGGCATTATCGTTACTAAGTTGACATATGTCAATTTTACTGGTAAAAAAAAACATTTGATGAATCTTATCTGGAATTACTTGAACAAATAAAATTGAATCGTCCGCCCATACCGCCTAATACTCAATATCAAACACGCTATATAGATTTATGGGAAACGGATGATGTTTTAAACTTTTTCAATGATAGTGCTTTAGATATGATGATACCGATCCTAAAAAATGTCGACGGTCGTGGTTTGCACTCAATGTATGACATGTGTGATAAAAATCCACTCATGTTACAGCAACTGAATCAGGACCTTCAACATCTGAATAAAAAGCAGTTAACAATAGTTGAATATTTAAAATTCATGACTGAATTAAAACGATATATACCTGATCCACGGCTATCCGTTGTTTGTAATCTGATGTAAACGATTGAAACATATTTGGACTTCCGTGTTATTTTCTAACCAAGGGAACTTTCTATTTACACTGACTTTTTTATATATAGTTAGCAATAAAACTATAGTTTTCAATATTTAACATAACTTAGTCAATAGTCTATTCAGTTCGGTTTGTATTTCTGAGGGACGCATGAAATGGTGATCATTGAGACTTGAGTTCTCTCTTATCTTTTCGAAACGGTGTTATGCAAGGTGGTATTCCGTCTCCTGTCCTGTTTAATATTGCATTCGATTTCATCGTTAGTGTTATGTCACGTACTAGAGCCGTGACATAAGTCAGGAGATCATACTCAAGGTTATTGCGCAAGCATATAGTCTAAGTTATTGCGCAAGAATATATGCAAGACTATCGACAAGGTTATTGCGCAGAGTCTACTCAAGACTATCGCTTAATATTTCCTATATAAATAGATCAATTTTATTGTTCAGAGACAACTTTTTATTTGTAAACAAACGTTAGGTGAGAAAGATCTTAGTTCACACGGGAACCTAACAGTTAGGAAAGTATTAGAAGAATCTGGTATTGAGGGCGTGAAGTTTGCTTATGGAAGCAATGATTTCTATCATGGTGCCAGAAAGAAGTTTGAAAAGTTTGATATATTAGCTTTGGTGTATGCCGACGACTTGGTAGCAGTGTGTAACACTCTGGACGATCTTGAAAAATTTATTAGGATTTTCGAAAAAGTGACTCAGGACTACGGACTGACGATGAGTGTAAAAAATACTTGCATTATGCCAATCCAGCAGTTCAAAGAAGATACCAATGGAAAAATTGTGAAGAATCAGGAAGATTATCTGCCTGATATCGACATTATCATTCGAAATCAAAGAGTTGTGACAATAGACTCGTTCTCCTATCTCGGCTGTTGGACTTCTCGTGATCAACGACCAGACAAAGAGATAGAAGCTAGATTAACGAAATCAGCAACAGCGTTCAACATGCATTTGGTACGGAAAGACTATATCTATTCAAGCCAAGTTACGAATATTCAGAGCATGCGTTCTGCGTGTTTTGTTATATGGTAGTGAAGGTTGGTCCTTGATCATTGCTCAGAAAACAGAATCAATACGTTTTACATGTATGGCTGAAATTTTCGAGGGTGCAGCAATCCAAGATCTACTACTAATATAAAAATGGGATCTAAGGGACTTAGTATCATGGGAAAATGGAGAAAACAAGGCTTTCGTTTATTTTATCCGGACGGATACATTCAACGCTTTTCTTTACTTGAACAACTCTTTTTAAGGCGGCATCTTCTATACTCTCTCTAACATAAACGAAAAGCTTCAATACACGTGAGAAATGACATTTCCAACAAGTTCAGAATAATATTGCCTCGATGTGCTTTCATTACGTTTTGTTCTGTTTTCTTGTCTACAATTCACTGGGAAATAAACCACTGATATGCTATTTTATCCCAGTTGTCGAGAAACTTCCCACATACAACAACAAAGCACTAAATGGCCACTACTCTTCTTTGGGGATATTCGCAAGCTAGAAATTATCCCAGAAACGACTGGGAGATTTCCCACAATCTACTAGAAGTATTTAAATCGAGCGAGAATGCAGAGAACATTAATAATAAAATTTCATCTTGGTTTCATCGTATTAAACAAAATGCATCAGCCACTTAAAAACGGAATATTAACATTACTATTAATCTCGTTAACTGCTTCTGTTATCCGCACACTAGCAACTGCGAAGCACTACGCGAGCTCTTCTAATCCTCATGATGATTCTACAGCAACCTCGATGCCCATATTGACTGATTCGGACCAAAATGAAATTGACTCAGCTGATCAAGAAGAGATCATCCTCGAAACACCATGATGGAAACCAAGCAATCAACCAGACGCTGAACATCATCGAAAGGAACGTCAGACTTGGGCACATTAGTATGCTATGAGTTTGGCCCAGAATAAGGTAATACGTCATCCATTGGAACGACCATTATGTATCTACTTAAACTATATTACTCAAAAAACGGAAATCCGATTGGAAAACTATTCTGTCTGCTTTTAGCCTTTTTATTTGAATGGCAAATATGACGACCCTCAAAACTGGAATGCAGCTGTCGGTGCACCAGCCTGGAAAAGTGAAGATGGAAAGCATACGATTGGCATAGGAGGATCATATGGTGAAACCGCCGGGAATTTATATGTACGTATTTTGGTTTTTCTTTAAGTGTCACTGCATGTTTACTGTGGACTTTTTTGCACATCGGTTGGTTATAGGGCGATGTATTGAAGACACAGACTGGAACACTGGCCTTGGCTATCGTTAGCAAAGTAATAATGAAAAGCATTCAGTCGGCACTGCCGCATCGTACGGACATTCATCAGGAAATTATTTAGTAAGTTTTTTCTGTGATTGTCAAATTTGATTCCAATTATCTTCTCATAGGGCCACACATGCAAGAGCCCTCCACAGTGAGGCGCTGGCATTAGCTATGGATTCAAGTTCTGAACGAATCGAAACTCGAAGCTTGTTTGAACCTCGTAGTCACTGCCATTTCTGATCCTTTAAGCTGATCCTGCCATTTCTAACCCCTTTAAGCTAATATATCATTGCGTAAAATTTGCTGCAACGCCAGAAAAAGGAAAGATGTCTCAACGCGCTTTTCTAAGATGGTAAGTGCGTGTACGTGTGACTACCTAGTGTATATGGACGTGAACGGATGATTGATGAAAAATGTCAGGGTGTTGTAAAGGAAAAATATGAAGATGGAACCTGATGAATATAGAAGAGATAAACAATTTTGATCATGATTAATTGTTTTTCGTGTATGGTGAATGAACGTGCATTATTGTGAATATACGTGTATTATTGATACAGATAAGCAATGGCCTTGCAATCGGACACAGAAAGTGTACCGAATAAAACTAACTAGTAACTCTTAGAAGGAAGCGAGCATGGAAGATAACAGAGTGGTTAAATGCCTGATACCGAGAAGATTAGGATGAATGTTATCCCTATGAAGCATATTAGCGTGCAAATCGAACGGAATAATCAGAAGCTGAGGAGCCAAATGCAGGTGAAGCAACATATCATTGTAACGGATGATTTTCCGTTGAAGTAAATTATAGGAACCTTGCATTTGCGTGTCAGCATGGGATGGTA